GAATGGATAAAATGTGTGGTACAGTGTCATATAAAGCATATACCAGTGAAAATGAATCAACAGGCCGGGTGCGGTGGCTCACACCTGTAATCCCAGCACTTTGGGAGGATGAGGCAGGCAGATCACAAGGTGTGGAGTTCGAGACCAGCCTGACCAACATGGTGAAATCCTGTCTCTACTAAAAATACAAAAATTAGCCAGATGTGGTGGTGCACACCTGTAATCCCAGCTACTCAGGAGGCTGAGGCAAGAGAATTGCTTGAACCCAGGAGGCGGAGGTTTCAGTGAGCCAAGATCGTGCACTCTAGCCCAGGCAACAGAGTGAGACTCCATCTCAAAAAAACAAAGAAAGAAAGAAAATGAATCAATAGTACATGCAACAACATGGAGGAATTGCCACCTGACGAAAGAATACATGCCGTATGATCCCATATAGATCCCATTTTATCTGTATATAAACCCCCAAAACAGATAAAATTAAACAGTAGTGTTTATTAACTGTAGTGGGTTTTTTTTGGTTTTTTTTTTAGGAATTCAAAACAAACTGGTAAAATTATAAGGAAAAGAAAGAAAGTGAGCGCCATAAAATCAGGAGATGGCGCCCTTTGGGAGGAGAGTGGGGGACTTAGGATCAAGAACAGCGTTGCGGCTTTGCGGGGGCTTCCAGAGTGCTGGCAAGACCCTATTTCTTGACACAGGTAGCAACGACTACATACAGTATCACTTTATACAAATCTGTTAAACTGTATAAAATTGTTTTGTGTGCTTTTCTATTTGTGGTACTGAACAACTAAAAAGGTTAAAACGGGAGAAGAATCAATACAATGTAACTTATCAAAAGTTTTTTAAAGGTTTGCAGCTGGAAAAAGCAGTGGGCTAAGTCGGTTTTGTTCCACTGAGCAGACTGCAAATAAGTGGTAGCTATAAAAAGACAGATTTTGGTAAGACCAAATGACAGCAACAAAGGAAAGAGGAAGAGGAGAGAAGAGAAGAAGAGAAAAACAAGGAGAGGAGGCAAAAAGAAAGAAATGGGTTCAGAACTACAGTTGCCTACAAACAGAATATTCTTCATGAGAAAGTGAGTGTCCCATCACTGACGCTAGTCAAACACAGGCTGAAAAACCATGAGGAGGAATGTTCAGGAGAGGATTCAAACAGTGGAAAATGAATTGTATATCATGGCCCTCCAGAACTAAGATTCTGTGATTCTATTTCTTTCTCAACTGTTATAGGTGTGGCCACTTAGAGAAACAGAAAAACAGAAAAAAAAATTATGGTCCAAATATCCTAAATGTATAAAGCAGATACTCTAGTAGATTTTAAAGGTTTGTTTACAAGCTGTTAACTAATCAAAAATAAAGGGAAGGGAAGATTGAAGAGCTTCAAGGTCATGCTCAAGAAACCACTGCCAAGTGAGGTCCAACCGTAAATGAAGAGCTGGCATCAGAAACAATGAAGTCAAGGAGTCAATTGACCCCCAGTGTTCCTCAAATGCACCTATTCTCTTAAGGTAGAGTATTAAAACAAATGAGTTACATACAAACCATGGAATTTGGAAGCTTTATTTCCTTAACATGAAATCACAAGGCTTCTTCCTCTCAATTCCCATCTAACATCAGCCAATAGATTTAACTTCTTGACAGTTTCAGAGAAAGATAGCTGAGCCTTGGCTGAAGGTTGTCGTAGAACATTTTGCAAGAAAAAACAAGCTCTGTTGAGCTGTTAATAATCCAGATTATCTAAAGGGATCATCCATTCCCTCCTTTAGAGGCACAATGGACTTTAACCAGTTTTCTGTTTTATAAATATTATCATGGCTCAAAACATCCATGAGGAGGCACAACATTATCCATGGCTCTCATCCTGTTTGCCAACTAATTACATCAACAACCTGAACCAACTTAACACTATACGAAAACACAGCTGATTTAGCAATCTGTAAATTATACATGTACATAAATCTGTACTAAAATGTGCTGTGTTTCACTCCTGTTAATGTGCATGAATTCTTATTGGCACCTACAATTGTTTGATATAGGTTCCTGAACACTCAAACATATGTTCTGCCTAGAATGGGACCATGTAGAGTAATATTTTTGTAGTTTCCTGGCACCAAGGTCTGCCAGCCTTTCAAAGACAGATCTCCTATTTGCTTCAGCGAACATTCTGACAACAAGTGCCTGCAGACTTAAGCAACTATCAAAAAATATTCTGAAACCACACTTTCCAGCCATGAATGTAAAGAGAAACAGGCTGATTTTGCCTATGTGGCAACAACGCCAGTAGGTTTTGAAATGATCACTGACATAACTATAAGCAAAATCAAATAAAATACGAAATGTTAATTATTCCTGTTGCCTACTTACAGCAATTTAAAAAACAGCTAGTTATCAAATCTTTCCTTCAAATGGGATTCAAAATGTACCAAAGAAAGTTAAAGTAGATTTTAGTACCAGCAAGACCAGTAAATACCTTAGAAATGCTTTTAAATACAGTGACAGGCCTAAGTAACAGTTGCAGCCAGTCAACACTGTAAAACAGGGGCAAGAACCTGGGACTAAGAGTCACTAGAATGTGATTTACTAATCACAAGGAGGGTTTCTTGTTTACCACTATCTCCTCAGTGTTCCATAAATACATTCAATACATGTTTGTTGAATGAATAAACCAATAACAACTCCCGGCTAGTCCCTGACCTGTCTCTCATTGCCTTTTCCTAACTCTGCCTCTTACTAACTGAAGGTGAATCACTTCAACTGAAGATTCTTAGGTGACTTTTAGTTTAAGGATTTTAGTTCCTTAAACTCTAAAATGGAGACACTGCACCTCTTCTATTAGCTTATGAGGATCAAGGGTGATATTCTATGAAAAGTGACTTGGTATTTTACAATGGGGCACACAGATGTTAAGTGCCCATTATCCCCGCCTATGCCTTCAGCTAAACCACTGACAAAGGTGAAAACACTGCACTTCCTTGAAATATAATTAGCCTTTCCTTTGCCCTATTATTCTGTTTGGATGTGGTAGTGTGGCTGTTAGCCAAGATGGATATTGTTCTTGTTGTTATAACATTTTATTTAATCTCCACTGGAAAATAATGCTTCTTGAAGGAATATAATGGTAACATGAGAAAAGTGTTTTTGCATGGTGTACCATAAAGAATATGACATTGGAGTCAAGTCGTTTGGGGCCTCATCAGTTCTGCCCTTAAGTATTTGAGGAAAGTCTCTTGCATTCATTTGCTTATTTATACAATAATAGGGGAGGAGAGGCAGACTAGATAATGTTTAAGGTCTGTCTCTTCCTACGGTTCTGATATTCCAGACACCAGATATTCAAGTGACCCAGTACAAAGTCAGTACTATTATTCATTACCGTATGAGAAGTTTTCAAAGGGTGATAAAAATAGTTCCACAGACTAAGTCATAAAAGGTGGAGAAATAATGATGCTGAGAGAAGGACATATGATAGATATGATAGATATCCTCTAAGGAGCACCAGCCTCAGGCATTGTTTGCCACTTAGAATAAGCCACTTAATATTCCTACGACTCAGTTTTCTCATCTGTAAAAGAGGAACATCAATACTGCACAGGACCACTGGGAGAAAATACCTAATAAAATGATCATAAAATATTGTTATTCAAAGGTAAAATGCTATTTTAATACTGCAATGTCCAAAAAATGGCTTATGGATTTTAGAACGAGACAATCAATATCTTTAAATAGACTTTTTCCATCACAGTAAAATAATATAATACAAACAGATATTGTGGTATTTCTAGGAGTCCACATTTTTTCTACCATTTGTGTTTGGGAAAAATTAGGAAAGGGATCATGAAAATATTAGGTCCCACATTTCAAGATGAGAACCATTTCTTCTGAAATAATAATTTTAAAAATTCATCCAAATCCCCCAAGATGTTTCATTTTTATTGATGCTATTCATTTGACTGGTTAATTGAAATCAATCTGCTGAAACCAACGTTGAATTAACAATGCCCATCCTAAAAATATTCCCGGTGACTTATTCTATTGACATTCTATGCTTACAGAGGGAAAGTGGCTCTAATAAGATCAACTAAACTAGACGGTATTCTACCTTCATAGCTCCAAGATTCTAAAGGTTCTTTCTCTTACAAACCCAAGGCATTTTGTGACTTTTACATGTAAGTTTCTCTTCCTGCTCCCTCCACTCAAAAACACACACAGTATACATTAGATACAGGGTTTCCCCTCTAACTTACAGGACGCAGCCTCTTCACTGAAAAATAGAATTGTCATTGATATTTATGAGAAAGTTGATGTCACTGACAATGGGATCCCCAAATTTGCAAGATTGTCTCCCTACCACTTAGCAGTCCAATAACAATAGCAATAATAGCACAGTAATTCTTAGTTATCTTATTTAAAAATCCATGAACATCTCCAGCTTTTTTATGGCAAAACTGTTCATTGTGGCTGTTCACATAGTGATTATCATCCCCTTACATCCCCAGGTAATGACTATGACCTTGACCTAAAAGCCACATTAGTTAATTGGAATAAAGAAGACCTTGAAGGGAAAGGTGACTGACTTTCCCTCTTAAGAGGCACACAATAAAGAAACGATCATTTCTAAGGAAGTACTTAAATAATACATGATGATTTGCTATGCTAACTGATGTGTTTTATTATGACATTAAATCACTTTTTAATTAAAGAGTATTTATTAGTGGCATAAGTCACTTTTCATCACCACGCTCCCCCGAATCCCTAACTAAATCCAAACAGAAGCTCATCATTTTACACAGAAGCTCCTTAGGCTCTGAAATCGTGATATTTACACATTATTAAAACCCACTTCCTAAGTTAGCTCCTAATGTCCCCCTGGTAAAAGAATGTCATCTGTTTCTGGAAGGGACGGGATGGGGGGGCCTAGGAGTCTGCAAAGAGCATCTTATGCTTGTCTGCCTTTCACTATAGCCATTTGATGAGCTGGCGCGCTGCGCCTTCCAACTGCCAGAACTCCTATTTGCTCTGCAAGTGCTTTAGATGGGGTCTCTCCGCTGTGAGTCCAAAAGGCGTTTGGAATTCTTTCTTTCCATCCCTGCTCCTATACTCTCTCAAGGCTTCATGCTACCGTTGCTCTTAATGCCACAAGGAAAGAGATGAGTGCCAAGGATCAGTTTATTGGGTAATGCATCTATTTATAGGTTTGGTGAGATTGGGAATTTATAGGTGAGCAACACTTGAGGGTGGCGTTAAACACAGCTGTGAGTTTGGAAGAGAGGAAACAGGTTTGTACCTGTGACCATTTAGTATGCTCCGCACCTGTGCCCTCCACTTCCCACCTGACGCCAGGAAAATCCTCTGCCCCTCACTTCGAAGGTGAGCCTTAACTTCACCTCTAAAGGGGTGGGTGGGTGAAGGGGTAGAATCAGGCCCGGACAGCACGTCCCCCCACCTCAGACTTTTCAGTTGCAGGTATGGAAGGTGGAGGCAGCTGAATCCTCCCATTCTGAGGCGGTGGGGACCTGAAGTTGCTTGTCTCTACTGCTGGCTCTCCCTTGGGAGAGGTGCAAGGGAGCAAGCCCGAGAGCCCCAGAGCCTTCGCGGAGGGGTGGGCAGTGCCGATGGGGCGCGCGCTGCGCTCCGGCTCCGGCCAGCTTTCCGTCACTTTTCCCAGTACTTTGCTCAGCAGCTGTCACGCACCCTTGGAGATGAGACCGAGAGGGCGCGAGAAAGGCCCAAAAGGCGTCCCCAGAAGAGCCCTCCTGTTAGGATGGGGGCCCATCAGACCCCGCCCCGCCCTGCCCATCTTTCCCTGCCTCGAGGAGGCAGCCCTGGGTGCCCGCGCCGCAGCTCCTTAGCAGAGCTGGCGGGTTCTGCTGCATCTGCTGGCTCCGAGCGGCGAGAGCTTCTGCAATAAAGGCGCGGATAAAACGCCCGGGTCACCGAAATCGAATGCACCGCTTACCATTGGACCGCCTGACAATATTCTCCAGAAACGTGTTTTGTGGGGCCACCAGTCCCCTCCTGCCCCCGGCCATGGTCATCCTCCCAGCAGCTTGGAGTCCGGGGGGCGTCCTGGCGCGGCTTCTCACGGCAGCAGGAAACTGGACGCGGGGCCCGCACGCAGTCCCAGCTCGAAGCGCCCCATGCGTCCCGGGGGACCCGCAGGCAGGGCTGGCGGCTCCCTCCCGCTGCTACCCTCGCGCCCTCTTCGCGCCTCCCTCCCTGCGGCCAGCCTCGCCTTGCACTCGCGCCGGCCTCGGCTCGCTGCAGCCGCCTCCGGGTGGGCGGAGGGAGCTGCGGCGCCTGGACCTGCGGCGCCCCCTACCGGGCTCGTGCCCCCCGCCGGCCTGCGGGAGACCGAGCTGGGGGCTCCCGCAGCTGCCGGGAAGCGGCGGGCGGCCGCGGGCCAAGGCTGGGACGGCAGCGACACCCTCTGGGTACAGCGGGAACTGTGTTCAGGATGCGCCTTGGGCTGAGTGGAGAGGAGGGCATTGTGAGCAGCTTTCAGGGCGGTTTCACCCCCAACAAGGTCACCGCAAGTCTTGGGGGATCGTGGTGATGTAACTTTGCTCTGTTTCAGGCCGGGGACCCCGGGACCTCTGAGGCTCTGGAAACACCTTCTGGCCTCCCTGTAAGGTTTGTTAGCCTGACTAGTGAAAGTTGCCCCACCTTGATTCTAAGCCAGTGTTTCAGCAGTAATTAATGAAGCCGTATTGCAATAGTGCACATTTACAGAGTGACTGGCAGATTCAGCTTCAGAAGCATTGTCTTGGGTTGTTTGTACCATAGACACAAATGCAGGCTACTGATGCTTGGTATGATCAGCATCAAACTGCCTGATCCAAACGGTGGCCTTGTCTCTAAGGGCGAACTCTCAGAGGAGGGGCAGCGTTACTTAAGCAACTGTGGCTTCGGCTTGAAGGGTAGTCTGTAGTGCAGAGGATACAGTTAGTTTTTACACCCGACCCCTGGTATAAGGAAGAGCCACATACACCCAAGGTTTCTGGACAGGGGCTAAGACAATAGTTGTTTCTTCACTTATTTGGGGGGATTTTGACCCACACATACTCAGTACCTGTTTTTTTTTTTACTATATATCCCCAGTAGGTGTGGTGGGAGACTAAGTCTATGCCCTGCAGAAGAAGAAATGAATGGAGAGCTTACTAGTTTCAGCCTGTCAACAGTCAACACAAAAATGTAAGAGGCGAAAAAAAAGTAACCCTGGAAATTGTCTGGGTTAGCCGTCCTGACATATCCTAATCAAAGACATCTTATTGCAAAGACATCCTGTCTCAGTTAATTAATCTCAAAAACAGAAGAACGAATTCTTGCCCAGAAATCACTCAAGAGTTGCTGTGAAGATCAAGCAAGATTATGTATGGGGACAGCACCTTACATTGTCAAGTGCTGTGCCAAGGTCAGACGTCATTATTGGAGTGACTAATTGGGCTATTACGAATATCACTCTTTGTCTTGTCTTGTGTAGACACAAAGTCAACAGATTCTGTTAGCAGAGAGTTAGATAAGGCTGTCATAGGATTTGAAATGAAAGTAATGGTACACTTCTTCCTTAAGATAGCCTTCTGCCCGTCGCTTGTCACCCAGCCTGGAACCGTGATTTCTTAAACCCTAGCTCCGTCTAGTGGTTCTTTGTTCTATTACAAATGAGACAACAGTGGTTGAAGAGAACTTGACTCTGAAATGTGTTTGCTACTGAGCTGAGTCGGTTTGTTGCCTACCCACTTCATTTTAATAAGTTCATTTAAATAAGGTTTTTAAGGTTGTGTTATTGCACAAACATGCCAAAGGAAGATTTTTCATGAAAATATTAAAAACCCATCAAGAAACCTCATAATCCTGCTTGTGAAAGGAAGATAAAATAATGCAGAGGGGAAAACTATCAGAGAGAATTAATATAGTTTCTCAGGTTTTAATGAGCTTGCATGTGCTACAGCTTAGATAAAAAAGGAAACAGATGATTTTAGTTTGAGATGAGAGATGTTAAAGTCCTGGTGGACTACCAGATAAGAAAAAGAAACAAGGCGATGTCTTCCATTTGAAGTGTACTACCGAAGAAGATCTCAACATGTACTGTGCTTGTGTGTCTGTGCGTGTGTGTGTGCGTGTGTGTGTGTGCGTGTGTCTGTGCGTGTGTGTGTGTCTGTGCGTGTGTGTTGGTACCTTTTTGAATATTAAAATTTTGGGTAGCCCACTTGAAGAAATTAAGATCTAAAACGAAGTAGTGCTACTACAAAGTGTTCTTTTTTTAAAGTTTTCAACCTCTAGATTGTGTGCCTTAACACGATGACATTATTTTATATCTTTTTGCTTAAGTAAGACTGGATGCTTATAAAAGCACTGTTATATTGTGTTATGGCACTTTAAGTACTTGCTTAGAAATGATCATTTCTTTATTGTGTGCTTCTTAAGAATGTTTCTGGTCAGTCACCTTTCCTTTCGAGGTCTTCCTTATTCAAACTAACGTGGGTTTTAGGTTAAGATCACAGTCATTACCTGGGGATGCAAGAGGAAGATAATTACTATGTGAACAGCTGTTTTGCCATAAAAAAAAATGCTGAAGATGTTCATGGATTTTTAAATAAAGTAAATATTGAAGAGTTAAATTGTTAAAAAGTCAGCAATCTTTCATCACAATGTGACAGTGTGTCCTATAGTCTGTGGAGGTACACCCAGTTCTTCCCTCATTCCCTTGGTTCACTCACAACATATCTGACTGTAGGAATAGAATCACATTCTGCCCTGTCCACAGCCACATTCTCAATATTTACAGGTAAAGGTGGCACATGCTCCAGTAAACACTCCCTCTTTCTTGGTGCTAGTTAACAAATAATGGTGGCACATGCTCCAGTAAACACTCCCTCTTTCTTGGTGCTAGTTAACAAATAATGGTGGCACATGCTCCAGTAAACACTCCCTCTTTCTTGGTGCTAGTTAACAAATAATGGTGGCACATGCTCCAGTAAACACTCCCTCTTTCTTGGTGCTAGTTAACAAATAATGGTGGCATATGTTCCAGTAAACACTCCCTCTTTCTTGGTGCTAGTTAACAAATAATGGTGGCACATGCTCCAGTAAACACTCCCTCTTTCTTGGTGCTAGTTAACAGGATACTGTGCTTTTCACCTATTACTTGCCACCTTCTGTTCCCTCCTTGACATTCACTTCCAGCACCTGCTCAACTTAAAGTTCTGTCTGAAATCTGCCTCTGTAATATAAGAATCTCAGTTAGAATACGCTTTAATCTTACAAATTTGTTAAGTCTTGGTAACAGATTTGTGAAGAATTCACAATAGGCCAATGTACCTTGGCAAACTAGTTGAGAACGCCTATGTTTTTGCATCATAACAGACAAAGCCACTCCTTCATTTAAAGGGAAACTTTAATAACTGTGACAAGAGTTTCAATTCAACTGCCTCTATCCTTCCTAAAGAAAATGTAGCCCATTTTCTGCAGGGGTACAGAGTTCAGATACAGAGTCTGAAATAACTTCTAAAATTTGACTCTACCGTTTCTAGGCATCCGTCCTCCTCAGTGGCTTTCCTCCTGTATCACTCAGCATTTTGTTTACCCCTCAGCTGTAAGATGTGTTTATGTCTGTATCACATAGTAGATGGTGAGCTCCTCAAAACAAAGACAAACTACAACAATCTTTGTTCTCATAAATGCTATTAAGCTACACTGTAATTAGCGAGTTCACAAAAGTAATAGATTGTGATGGAGTCATAATGCTGTAGAGAGAATATGGAGACGGAGGTCTGCAGACGGGCTGGGAAAACAGTCCAGGAGATGACAGGAAAGTCTCTCCCCCCAGCAACGACAACAAGTCTATCAAATGAAGAGGGTGACTATGCCACACATCAGAAGGGGCAAATGGCATCATGTAAAGACAGGAACTTCATTTTTCCTTCCATTAAGACCACAAGGTGTGGGTGACAGATTTTAGAAAGCCAGGAATGTCTCTGACATAGGAAATTGCCTATGAGTCCTAGAAGGCCTGGGAGCTGGAAGGGACAGGCCAGGGAGGCATCATCATTAGCAACTTAAGAGGAGGAGAAACTGAACATAGAGGCAACTTTACTACTCAGCCACCATGAACAAAATATCTAAAAGTGAAGGAATTTGCAGCATGACACATTTCAGCTTCTACAGTCCAATGACTGACTTATTATATGTAATTTCTGTTAACAAAACTTCTATTCTAATAAACTTACAGGATGAATATGGGGAAGACTATATCCATTGACGAAAATGATTCCCTACTATAGATGTCTTTCCCCTGGGTTGGGAGAAGAGACAGAATCTGCCTTAATGGAAATCCTAGCTGAATCTAATTAACTGGGGGAAAAAAATGCACTTATGCAGGTCTACACTCACCCATGGCTAACCCAATAGACAGTGTGAAGCATTTGTAGAATTGAGTTATAGCCTTCTAAGTGCCCTAAGCTATTCTTTCTCATTTCCTCTAAACAAAAAAGAAAAGGATCTTTTATCACACTCTTCCCTCAGTGGGAAATAATTAAAAGTGATTTACAAGAGTCTCATTTTATTATAACAAACATTTGCATGGTGTCGAGCATATAGCAGACACTGGGATAGGTTCTAAGGATTAAAAGATGATTGGCACCTGCCCTCGAGAAACTCAAGAAACACTTAATGAATGTGTATGTTCTTCATGATTTCTTTCAGCTGCTTTCCTGTCTCCAATGTGCCCTCTAAAATCATTCTTTCTTTGTAAATAAACTATAATTTAACTTGACTTATTCGCTTAAGACTTTATTTTTATTTTTCTTTTTTTTTTTGAGACATGGTCTTGCTGTTGCCCAGGCTGGAGTGCAGTGGCACAATCATGGCTCACTGCAGCCTCAACTTCCCAGTCTCGAGTGATCCTCCCACCTCAGCCTTCTGCATAGCTACAGGGACAGGCCACCACACCTGGTTAATTTTTCTTTTTTTTGGTAGAGACAGGGTCACCCTATATGTTTCTCAGGCTCATCTTGAACTCCCGGGCCTGGGCCCAAGTAATCCTCCCACCTCAGCCTCCCAATGTTCTGGGGCTTCCTTTCCTTTCCTCCTCTTAACTAAGATTTGGTTTTCCCCTAAAGTCTCAGAGTCCTGTAGATCCCACTTTTTTGGAATATGTTTATTCTGTCACAGTTCATGTACCTAGAAGCCAGAAGTTGAGGTGAGAATTTGTCTAGTTCCTCATTGCCATATCTAAACCACTCCTCCTCCATTCATGTAAAATTTCTTCTTCTTTAAAGTTCAATACCAATAACAACATCACTATACTTCTCTTCAATTCTTACAACACACTTGGTGAAAATTGTATTCAGTTATGAAAAGACTGAGTTGCCTGCAGGACATTTCAGAGAAATATCAAGTAGGTAGTTGGATATTCACATGTAGAACCTAAGAGAAACATCTGGGTGGTGCTGAAATTGGAAATCACCAGTTTATAGCTTTCAAAGGAGACTGAGAAGGAGCAGTTTAGAAGTGGAGGGAACTGACAGAAGTGGTTTTATAGAAGCTCAGATGGGAAAAGTCTTTAAATGAAAAGAAAAATGAACAGTGTCGTATGTTGTACACTGTACAGATAAACACTGGAAAATGTCCATTAGATCTAATGATTAGTTGGCCATTTGATACTTTAGTGGAAACATTTTCAATGAAATAGTTGGTAGGGAGTCAAAGTACAAGGGATTTAAAGATTAAATACAAACATACAATTAAGCTGGGCATGGTGGCTCACGCCTGTAACCCCATCACTTTGGGAGGCCGAGGTGGGCAGATCACCTGAGGTCAGGAGTTTGAGACCAGCCTCGCCAACCTGGCAAAACCCCATCTCTACTAAAACTACAAAAATTAGCTGGGTATGGTGGCAGGCACCTGTAATCTTAGCTACTAGGGAGGTTAAGGTGAGATAATCACTTGAACCCAGGAGGCAGAGGCTGCAGTGAGCCAAGATCATGCCATTGCAGTCCAGCCTGGGCAACAAGAGTGAAACTCGGTGTCAAAAAAAAGGAAAAAGAAAGAAAGAAAGAGAGAGAGAGGGAAAGAAAAGAAAGAAGGAAGGAAGGAAAGAAAAGAAAAGGAAAGAAAAAGAAAGAAAAGAGAGAAAGAAAGAAAGAAAGAAAGAAAGAAAGAAAGAAAGAAAGAAAGAAAGAAAGAAAGAAAGAAAGAAAGAAAAGAAAAGAAAAGAAAGAGAAACATACAAGCAAGATGGCAGGCAGGTGGGGCTATGGTGCTGTGGGTACCACCTTCCTCTCCTAAGCATACAGAAATGCCAGGTAAGGGTGGGCACGGTGGCTCACGCCTGTAATCCCAGCACTTTGGGAGGCTGAGGTGAGCAGATCACCTGAGGTCATGAGTGCGAGACCAGCCTGGCCAACATAGTGAAACCCTGTCTCTACTAAAAATACAAAAATTACCCTGGTGTGGTGGCACATGCCTGTAATACCAGCTACTCGGGAGGCTGAGGATTTTATTGAAAGCTTTATCCACGTCTGTTGGGATGATCGCATGGTTTTTGTTTTTAATTTAATTTAGGTGGTAAATCACATTTATTGATTTGTGTATGTTGAATCAACCTTGCATCCCAGAAATAAAGCTTACTTGATCATGGCAAATTAACACTTTGATATGCTATTGAATTGGGTTTGCTAGTACTTAATTGAGGATTTTTGCATCTATGTTCATCAGGGATGTTAGCCTGTAGTTTCTTTTTCTGTTGTGTCTTTGCCAGGTTTTGGTATCAGGGTTATGCTGACTTCATAGAATGAGTCAGAGAGGAGTCCCTTCTCCTTGATTTTTTTGGAATAGTTTCAGTAGAATGAGAACCAGCTCTTCTTTCTATATCTAGTCGAGTTTGGCCGTGAATGAATGTGGTCCAGGACTTTTATTGGTTGGTTTTTTATGGATTCAATTTCAGAACTCAATATTGGTCTGTCCAGTGTTTCAGTTTCTTCCTGTTTCAATCATGGGAGATTATGTGCTTCCAGGAATTTATTTATTTCTCTAGATTTTCTAGTTTGTGCATGTAGGGGTGTTCATAATAATTTCAAAGCATCTTTTCCATTTCTGTGCAGTTGGTTGTAATGTCACCTTTGTCATTTATGATTGTGCTTATTTGGCCATCTCTTTTTTGTAAGGATTTTTGGGTCTCAGTTTCATTCAGTTCTACTCTGATCTTAGTTATTTCTTTTATTCCGCTAACTTTCAGGTAAGTTTGTTCTTGTTTTTCTAGTTCCTCGGCATGATGCTATTAATAGATTATTAATTTGAGATCTTCCTGACTTTTCCAACTGGGGGTTTAGCACTAAACTTTCCTCCTAACACTACTTTTGCTTCATCTGAAAGATATGGCTATGTTGTGTCTCTATTTTCACTGCTTTTAAATAATTTTTTAAATTTCTGCCTTAATTTCATTGTGTACCCAAAAGTCATTCAGGAGCAAGTTGTTTAATTTCCATGTGATAGTGTGGTTTTTGTTTTGTTTTGTTTTGCTTGAGACTGAGTCTTGCTGTGTCGCCCAGGCTGGAGTGCAGTGGTGCAACCTCAGCTCACTGCAACCTCCACCTCCTGGATTCAAGTGATTCTCCTGTCTCCGCCTCCTGAGTAGCTGGGATTACAGGCACACACTACCATGCCTGGCTAGTTTTTGTATTTTTTAGTAGAGACAGGGTTTCACCATGTTGACCAGGCCAGTCTCAAACTCCCGACCTCAAGTGATCCACCTGCCTCGGTCTCCCAAAGTGCTGGGATTACAGGCATGAGCCACAAAGCCCAGTCAATAGTGTGATTTTGAGAGAGCTTTTCAGTATTGATTTCTATTTTTATTCCACTGTGGTTGAAGAGTTTGGTTGGTATGATTTTGATTTTTTTAATTGAGACTTGCTTTATGGCTAAGGCTGCGGTTGATCTTGGAGTATGTTCCATGTGCAGATAAGAATGTATATAGCCTGTGGCTGATGGATGGAGTATTCTGCAGATGTCTATTAGGTCCAATTGATCCAGTATTAAATTTAAGTCCAGAATTTCTTTGTTAATTTTCTGCCTCAATGATCTGTCTAATACTGTCAGTGGGGTGGTGAATTTCCCTAATACTGTGTGGCTAAGTCTTTTTGTAGGTCTAGAAGTACTTGCTTTATGAATTTGAGTGCTCCAACTTAGAATAGTTAAGTCTTATTTAATTGAACACTTTATTATATATTGCCTTTATTTGTCCATTTTAAACCTTTTGGTTAGTTTAAGGTCTGTTCTATCTGATATAAGAATAGTAATCCTACTCCTTTTTGTTTTTCATTTGTGTGATAGATCTTTCTCTGCCCTTTACTTTGAGCTGATGGGTGTCATTAAGTGTGAGATGAGTCTCTTGCAGACAGTAGATGAATGGGTCTTATTTTTTCATCCAATTTGCCACTCTGTACCTTTTTTTTTTTTTTTTTTGAGACGGAGTTTCGCTCTTGTTACCCAGGCTGGAGTGCAATGGCACGATCTTGGCTCACCACAACCTCTGCCTCCTGGGTTCAGGCAATTCTCCGGCCTCAGCCTCCTGAGTAGCTGGGATTACAGGCACGTGCCACCGTGCCCAGCTAATTTTTGTATTTTTAGTAGAGACGGGGTTTCACCATGTTGACCAGGATGGTCTCGATCTCTTGACCTCGTGATCCACCTGCCTCGGCCTCCCAAAGTGCTGGGATTACAAGCATGAGCCACCACGCCCAGCCCACTCTGTGCCTTTTAAGTGGGGCATTTAGATCATTTTCATTCAAGGTTAATATTGATATGTGAGGTTTTGATCCTAATGTGAAGTTGTTAGCTGGTTGCTTTGTAGTCTCTATTGTGTGATTGCTTTATATGGTCTGTGAGCCATATACTTAAATATGGTTTTATGGTAGGAGGTATCATTCTTTCATTTCCATTTTTAGAACTGCCTTAAGGATCTCTTGCAAGGCTGGTCGAGTGGTAACGAATTCCCTTTGTGCTTGCTTACCTGGAAAAGATTTTATTTCTCATTCACTAATAAAGCTTAGTTTGGCTGCATATTAAATTCTCAGTTGAAGTTTCTTTTCTTTTAGAATGCTGAAAATAGCCCCCAGTCTCTCCTGGCTTTTACAGTTCCTGCTGAGAAGTCTGCTGTTAACCTAATGAGGTTCCATTTGTACCTAATATGACCTTTTTCTCTAGCTGCCCTTAAGATTTGTTTTCCTTAACATTGACCTTGCACAGTTTGTGACTATATGTGTTGGTAACATTCGTTTTGTATAATGTCTCATAGGGGTTGTCTAAATGTCTTACATCCAGGTGTCTACCTTTCTAGCAAGATTAAGGAAATTTTCCTGGATTATTTTCGTGAGAATGGTCATAAAGAAAATATAATCAAACCAAAATATGCCATGTAAAGAAAAAAATAGATGTAAAAAAATGAATATGATAATAGTAAATACATTTAAAGCAACCAAAATGCATTCAAATATATCTGTAATCACAGTTAATGTGAAGGGATTAAATTTGCTTTTTCAAAGAAATTTTTGGATAAGGGAAAAAAAAC